GGGGAAAAGGGAAGGGGGGGAGGGAGAGAGAGAAACATCAATGTGAGAGAGACATATCAACTGGTTGCCTCCTGTACTCGCCCAGACTGGGCTGGGGATCAACCCTGCAACTGAGGTATGTATGTGCCCTTGGCTGGAATCGAACCCAGGACTCTTCAGGGCTGACACTCTAACCACTGAGCAAACCAGCTAGGGCTCAAATACATTTTTTATATTTGCTGGTCACTGACCTAAAGCCTAATTGGCCTTTTGGCCTCCCGTTTGCAACCCCTGAGCTAGTTTAACCCCTTCATTTTACAAAGCAAATAGTAATATAGACAGGCAGGGCTACAATTGGAGCCTGAACCCCTCATACCCCCTTTCTGCCCCAAAGGGCTCAGTCTCTGTATTTAGCAAAGCAAAGAAAAAGTATCACCATCTTCTACACATGCCAATTCCTGGACCAGGGCACAGCTCAGGCTTCAGGGCTGCAACCCACAGAAAGGACCCAGACCCAGTACAGAACTGACCTCCAGGTTCAGTGGAATCTGGACACAGAGAAAGGCCAGAGGCCATAGGCCAGGATTGGTATCTAAGACAAAGACACAACCCCAATTCCAGGTCCCCCAGCAGGGCCAGCAGAGAAACCCTCCCTGGGGGCCATACCTGTGTTCCACTCATGCCCACAGGTGGCCCAGGGGAGCTCAGTGGTGAAGCAGTTGCACAGGTAGAAAATGGCCCACGCCAAGATGATGATGTAATACACATTTAGATGGGCCTCGATCACCTGTGTTGCATAGCCAATGCCTGAAAGAACAAGGAAAGGGAGCAATGTGAATCTCTATCCACCTTATATGAACAGTCTCAGCTACTCTTCATAGCCTGATATCATCCAGGCATCATTTTATTTTCTGATTAACTCAATCCTTACCTTCAAATAAAGGGCAAATTTTCCTCCAACATGTAATGCCACCTTCACTCGTGAACTGGCCCAGAGCCGTTTCCAGGAAAAAAACAGGAATTCCACAACAAATAAAAAACACCACGTAGGGAATCAGGAATGCCCCTGCAAGAACGCAAAATATGGGAATGATGTCAAAATTGCCCCCACCATTTTATGTTCAGCACAAGGAATCTTTAACAAGTACCTACTACAGGCAAGACAAGAGGTTCTCTAAGCTGGAGTTTAGGTTGCCACAATAAGGACCAGAGTCAGGAAATGTGGCCCTCGGTTTGTGGCCTCTTCTACCTACTCCCATGAGTAATCTACTTCACATCTCCCTGCATCAACTTCTTCCTCTGTAATATGGAGCTTTAATGCCTAATCTCTGCACCTCTTTTCTCACAGACTTATTGTGTAGATAAGATAATGTGAAAGATAGTGGTCTGTTTCCTTGATTCTTTTAATTTTACATTTCACCCTCCAGCACAGGTCAAATTCATTCCCTCCCTGAATGCTGCACCCCTCTTTATTCTAAAGTAACCTCAAAAGGCCAGGTGTGTGGACCCCTTCTTCTTATTTACTTTGGAAGTGACTTGCAAAATATCTTTTTCATAAAGAGAAGCATCCTTAAGGAGATATGCAATGAGCAATATAAGCTGAGGCCCAGGTATAAAGTTGAGTTATAAACAGTTTGCGGCAAGAATATGTCCAGAAAGGCTGGATTTGGATCAATCTGAGAAAAGACCACCCATAAGCCTTAGTGCTCCTATCTTGAAACACAATACCCATTGACTGTGCCTTTCTGTGAAACAAATTAAATAACTGAAGTGAACATGAGCTATTACAACCAGAAAGGGATTTTTTCCAAATCCCTCATTCTCTCTACCTAATAACAAAGCATGAAAACACGTGCCATTCCCCACCATCTGATCTCACAAATGAAAGCTTTAACTGAAATTGCTTTCTGCTAAATGAATTCTTTCTGACTGCAGGGTCAATAGCAACAATTTTGATTAATCCTGATAGTAGAACCATATCTACCAGGTTTTGAAAGGCTCTTAGCTTTTCTGTGCAAGACACTATTTTTAAAGTTTCACATTGGAAAAGAAATACTTTAAACTACTATTGGGATGTATGAGTAGAGCTGTTTTTAAAAAAGGTAAACTGTTGATAAGCAGCTACTCCAACTATATTAGAAGGTAAAGTGTGAAAGGGGATAAGAGGGCCTGTTCGCTCCATTTAAACCTAAGTGATTAAAACAAGCTGCAGCAGCTTCCCTAATATGTAATTTACCTGTGAATCCTCTAGAATCTAACAAATGACACTTTTTAAAAAAGCCTTTTGGCCTATGTATCCACAAAGCTGGTAATCCTTAAGGTAAATTAGCTCAATTAAACCGGGATAGCTGTGTACCCAATGGAGAATCCTGGCAAGTTAGAACTTAAAAAAAAAAAAAAAGACTAATTTTAAACTTCACTCACCACAACCTTTTTAATCTGTGGCAGAATTTGTCACTAACCCAACTTACCCTGTTTTCTGCTTTTAAGAATGCTTTTAGTTTTGGCATAAAAATTTCCTGTATAAAAATATTATGCTAAAACAATTTTTGTCTGGGACTATCCTAAAGGGTTTCCACAGGTTTCTAAGCAGACATGGTAGCTTATGAAGGCTGAATCTGCACAGAGAGGTGGGGTCCACGGCTGAGGCTGCAGGACACATTCAGGGTCCCCGAGTCTACTCCCTCTCTGTCCCTTGCCAAGCCACTAACACCAGCAGCCATTTCATTACCAGTGTAGAGCAGGTTTGGAGTAGCCTGTGCCTTCAGGATGAATGTCTCCAAAGAGAGAGTTCAGGCTAAGCAGTACCCTTCTTGCTCTCCCTACAGCCGCTCACACAGGAAGTCCTGCTCCGCACAGCCTAGCAGCATGGTCCCTCCCAGCCAACTCTACTTTCACTGAGGTCTGGGGAGCTGCTGGAGGGGCAGGGAAACAGCAAAGGCAGGGAGGAATACATAGATACAGGCGTTTTCTTGGGGAAACTGTGCCACTCAATAAGGCTTTACAGGGTCCTTTGCCTTGGACCTGCTGGCTGTTCTGATGATACGACAGGTGTCGGTTCCTGAAGTCTGGAGCCCATTTCTTGAACTGAGAGATTTAAGGATTCACTGCTGCATCTCCACCAGACTTACTTGGATATGTTGTCACTACAAAGGATTACCCTCCTTTCCCTGGCCCCCCCGCCCCAATCTCTAAGCATCTCCTAAACAAATCAATGGTGTTGCTTTTTGTTGTGGGTGATTGTGAACCCAGTAAAAGAAACTGCTTGGTACCAATTCTTCCACCAAAAAGGACCAAAAAGAGGGCCTAGAAAGGGCCTTATGATGATGCCTGGCCGGGCTTGGCTCAGCAGTTGAGCGTTGACCTAGGATCCAGGCGATGAAGGTTCGATTCCCGGTCAGGGCACATGCCCGGGTTGCGGGCTAGCCGATCAGTGACTCTCATCATTGATGTTTCTGTCTCTCCCTCTCCTTTCCTCTCTCTGAAATCAATAAAGATATATTTTTAAAAGAAAAAAGAAAGGGCCTTATGAGCAAATAAAAGACTGGGCAGGAAATCAAACAACAGTGCCTAGCCAAAAAGTTTTCCCTGTTGTTGGTCTAATTCCAGTGTAAGACAAGGCCTCTGGTGTCAGAATGCCATCTTTATCACTTACGAAGTGAGTGACTTCTCTGACCCTTCGTTTCCTCGTCTACAAAATGGGTGAGACGACTCTAAAGATTAAATGGGATGCTCAGCATTTCAGGAAGCGCTCAACACCGAGCCCCTTTTCTTCATGGAGGTTTCCAGTCAGGAAAGCTGAGGGTGCAAGGGGCTGTCGCCTGCCCGCAAGAGCAGCGCAGGTCGCAAAGGCAAGGGCTCCTGGTCCGGCCGGCACTTCCCGCGGGAACGGGAAGTATCGGGCAGGCGCGTCCTCACGTGCTAGCCGGCTGCGCCCGCAGGTGTGAAGAGCACCCGCGCGTGCGCACTGGGGAAGCGAGCCTTGCCCCGGAGAGCTCGCGCGCCAGGTAGCCCTGGCCGGGAGCCGGCCTTTCCCCGAGGGTCGCGCTACACGCAGGCGCGCGAGGGGTCTCGCGCTCACCCCTAGCTTCCCCGCCCCCACCG